GTGAGTCACACATCCACATACAGACACTCACTGGACTGGTACTCATTGTGCTCTATGTTCATATGATCCACACAGTCACTCTGACAGACTGTAATACACTACAGGAAGTGTAGGGGGCGATATGGCTTCTACTGTTTCATTTAAAAAGCTCTATAATGTTCATATGATCCACACAGTCACTCTGACAGACTGTAATACACTACAGGAAGTGTAGGGGGCGATACAGCTTCTACTGTTTCATTTAAAAAGCTCTATAATGTTCATATGATCCACACAGTCACTCTGACAGACTGTAATACACTACAGGAAGTGTAGGGGGCGATATGGCTTCTACTGTTTCATTTAAAAAGCCTCTATAATGTTCATTTGATCCACACAGTCACTCTGACAGACTGTACTACACTACAGGAAGTGTAGGGGGCGATATGGCTTCTACTGTGTCATTTAAAAAGCTCTATAATGTTCATATGATCCACACAGTCACTCTGACAGACTGTAATACACTACAGGAAGTGTAGTGTAGTAATGTGAGAGGGTAATGTGTTTGTACAGGATGAAGTGCTTGCACTGTGTTGTTTTTTGCGTTTGCATATTTGTGTGAGGTTGTTTCTGGTCTAACTGTCACAGCATCACTGTTACTCAACTCACCAAACCATCAGACACATCGTGGCGCAATACAGAATGATCATGTGATAAAAGACATGCTGTAGATAAACAGCAGGACAGTCTGTTTATTAAATAACCATCTACCTTCATAACGCCGCAGTTTGTGATTTGTAGCTACAGCAGCACAAGATTTATTTATTTTATCTTTATTTACAAAAAATGGGCTCCTCAATGCACGGGGGCTCCCAACGTTCACCTAACAGAACCGACTCACAGAACCGACTCGTTCTCGAACAGAACATCTCCAGTTCACTCAGTGGAGCTTCTGGTCTTCCTGCTCCAGCATGTTTCTGTATAATATAGAGTTCTAGCAGGTGAATTCACCTCATATCATTGAATACATTTAATATTGCTCTATTTGATACTGCTGTAAGTATATTCTCATTTAACTTTGTTCTGGACATTTTTATTTGTTTCAAGTAATTTTATTAAGTTATTAAGCCATTATTAAATAATATTTTTGCTTTTATTGCCAGTATAGTGAAATACTTTCACAGTGTGTGTGTGTATATAAATATATATATATATTGTTTCTCTTCTTATATATATCTCCAATTCCAAAAAAGTTGGGATGCTGTGTAAAATGTAAATAAATGTAAATAAAAACAGAATTCAGTGATTTGTAAATCTCATAGACCCATATTTTATTCACAATAGAACATAGAACAGATGATGAAAGTGAGACATTTTACCATCTCATGAAGAACATTAACTCATTTAGAACTTAATGGCAGCAACACATCTCAGAAAAGTTGGAACAGAGCCGCGTCCACCATCGTGTAGCATCTCCTCTTCTTTAATAACAGTCTGTAAATGTCTGGGAAGTGAGGAGACCAATCGCTGGAGCATGTGTTGTTCTAAAATCCCTATATACTCCTCAGCATTGATAGAGCCTTTCCAGATATGTAAGCTGCCCACGCCATAGGCACTACTGCAACCCCAGACCATCAGAGATGCAGGCATTTGAACTGCGCGCTGATAACAAGCTGGATGGTCCCTCTCCTCTTGAGTCCGCAGGACACCACATCCGTGGTTTCCAAAAAGAATGTCAAATTTTGATTCATCTGACCACAGAACAGTTTTCCATTTTGCCTCAGTCCATTTTAACTGAGTTTTGGCCCAGAGAAGACGGCAGTGTTTCTGGATCGTGTTGACATATGGCTTCTTCTTTGCATGACACAGCTTTAACTTGCAGTTGTGGATTACACGGCGAACTGTTTTCACAGACAGTGATTTCTGGAAGTGTTTCTGAGCCCATGCAGTGATGTCCAGTACAGAATCAGGCCTGTTTTTAATGCAGTGCCGCCTGAGGGCCCGAAGATCACGAGCATCCAGTACTGACTTAGGGATTTCTCCAGATTCCCTGAATCTTTTGATGATATTATGTACTGTAGATGGTGGGATTTCCAAAGTCTTCACAATTTTACGTTGAGGAACATTTTTCTGAAATTGTTCCACAATTTATAGACAGTTTTTGGCAGGTTGGTGAACCTCTGCCCATCCCTGCTTCTGAGAGACTCCGCCTCTCTGAAATGCTCTTTTTATACTCAGTCATGTGAGTTGGTTGCAAACTGCTCCTCCAGCTGTTTTTATTAGTACCTCTTACTTCTCCAGCCTTTTGTTGCCCCTGTCCAACTTTTCTGAGATGTGTTGCTGCCATTAAGTTCTAAATGAGTTAATATTTTTCATGAAATGGTAAAATGCCTCACTTTCAACATCTGACATGTGTTCTATGTTCTGTTGTGGCTCTATGAGATCATTGCTTTCTGTTTTATTTACATTTATTTACATTTTACACAGCGTCCCAAATATTTTGGTATTTTTCGTATGTTTAAGTGCTGTAAGGGGACTCACACTCACCTTCCACCAGTGTAAATGTGATGTGACAGTAAAAATTATTTTGATTTGATTTGATTTGTTAAGATCACTTAAAACAAGTAAACAGTGTCTAGAATATGTTCAGTAATTTTATAATCATCTTACAGCAATCTCAACATGAGGAATAGTATAAGACATATACGGATAAATGTATATAAGAGGAACTGAGCTGATTAATCAGATAATAGTCTGTAGATTCATTGATTAGGAATAAGTGTGAGCTGCAGATTAATCAGAACACGTCTGAGCTGATCCTGTGTTTATCATATTAATCTAAATTTGATGGAAATGAAATGAGACACTTCAGAATGATAGTGAAGACGTGTCTACAGGAGGGTGGACTTCTCCCCCTCGGTGTTCCTCTCCCTCCCCACCCCCCTCCCCCAGCGCAAGTCTGAATGAGGTTAAATTTGGGTGTAAAAGAGGAACTGAGCTGTGTTTAGGAAGAAGTTACCAAACAGTAATACACTCTTTATCTGCACTGAGGCAGCGGAGCGTTAATTTACGCTCACCTCCATCCAGATGTTTAACAGCTGTTACTATGACAACTGACTGAACACCACACTGAGTAAAGTTACACTGCAAAAACATATTTAAAAAACCTATTAGATGTAGTCGATATATCTAATAAATCTCATTATGGGAGTGTTGTAAAAAATGATACGATTATTTTTTACTTTTTTATAGACATTTTTAGCTGTTTTAAGTTATTTTGTTTGGTGAAAGTGTCTTATTTCATTGGCAGATCATTTGCTGTTCAGAGAAATAATGAAGAGAATTTTGCTTAAATTTAGAAATAATTCTTAAAACAAGCAAAATGATGTTATTTCTCAAAACAAGGAAAACACTTGTCAGTGTAATAAAGACACTTTCACCAGATAAAATTACTCAAAACAAGCACTGATGTAGAAACAGGTGGAACAATCTTATAATATTCTCACAGCAGCTTCATAAAGAGAAATATCAGATATATTAACTACATTTAAGATGATTTCTAGATGAAGTCCTGTTACAGCTCTACACTGCAAAACTGATCTCTTATGAAGTGAAGTCCTCTTAACTCTCGCTGATTTATTCTCATTAAGAGAAGGTTACAGACTTTTTGTAAGATTTCAGCTTATTTCTGTCTGATTTTTGACTTGTTTTAATAATATATAAGTTGATTAGGTTGAATAATCTGATAACAGGCCACCAATCTCAAAATGAGAAACATTAGATGTGTCGACTCGATTTGAGATGATTTACAGTGATAAGACACTGTTTTTTATCAGTAGATCTGGGCGAATGAAAAACATGATGTTCTGATCACAGAGCTGAACTGTCTTCTTTACTGCTGTCAGCTTTACTGCTTGCCTAACTAGTTAAATATTAGGCTATTTAACTTTTTATTTGAATTTGAATTAATGTTCAATTTTTTCTCTTTTAAATCTAATTTAATGTTTCTTTAAATCATGTTTTTAATTTCTGTTCTACCTCTTTTTAAATGTTAACGTGGATTATCTCTGTAAACCACTCTGAGAGACCACAGTGTATGAAGGGTGCTGTATAAATAAACTCGCCTATGCTATGAGCTAGCACTGCTAAGCTAACTTCCCACAGTCTGCAGAGACTGGTCAGTGGGGAGTTTTCGTGGTCACTTTTATTATTTATATATTATTTTACAGTGTCTGACGGTCAGTGTGAGTTTACCAGAGCCACTTCCTATTTCCCCCGTTATATCAAAAACAGGACTGCTAAACAGCAGAGGGCACCTGCGAGTGAGTCCCCAATGAACGGGAGTGAATGGAGCTCAACAGCTAAAAACGAAAAGTTAAAATAGTTTCTAATCACTGAACCAGAACTTTCCTTTAATTTTAGAAAGTAGAATTATTAATTTCACTAAAAAAACAAAGAAATCTCTCCTGAATGTTTCCTTTTTTCTACAGCAAACGGATTTAGGGCAGCAGGGGGCGGGCTTTACTGCTAGAGCATGATGACTGATTGGCGAGCGGAGCAGCTCGTTGGCTGTTTGCGCTCACTGACGTCATGAATGTACATGAGGCGCCGTTTAAACTCCTATAACTCGAGTTTAAAAGCTCTTAAAAATATAAAAGCAGTGTTAAAATGTTTTATGCTGCTCTGTGTTCAGGAAATGAATGAATTCCTTTACATTAAAAATGTTTCAGCATTTATAAACTATGATTTTGCTCAAATGCTCCATATTAACCCATTCATTTTGGACTCACTCGGGAGCGCCCCCTAGCGTCTGAGAAACCCAGAAGACATTGCAGAGTGGAAATTCTGCTGTGGCAACTAAAATCACTCAGTTCATTATTCTGAGCTCGAGTGTAAACATCTCTGACTGTGTTTGGTTTCTTTAGCTTTAGCCCTGGAGCTACGAGGCTAATGTAGCTAACAGGTAGTGAAAGTTTATAGCCCACTAATTAGCACAGTACAAAATACAGACAAAACCCAGT